TTTGATTGCAACTTTTCATGCTTTCAATTTGTATAAATCTTCTATAGTGCCTGTCCGTAATAGAATTTAAGTTTTTCTTAGCTCTTTTTGCATTATCCATATTTGCATTTCTACAAAGAAAATAGACCTCAATTTATAGCTAATATATATTATTGATATATATTAATATATATTATTGAGATATTTGTAGCAGCTAATAATAAAAAGCAGGTAAGGCAATAAGTAGCAGGTAATAATAAAAACAGTAGTTATAATAAGTTATTTCTTACAAAAATCAGCAAAGAACAATGAAAAGTTTGTTTAATTATATGATATTGTTGATATTTATAGTGAAATCACAGATACAACCCAGTCAGAAATGTTTGGTTGATGCGACGTCGAATCAATGTCGAAAATCATATGTTGAAATTCTGGTCGATTCGACGTCGAAAGCGTATAAAACATCAACGACTATTCAACCATCATTTCGACGTCGATTCAATGTTGAACCAAGGTCAAAATTCGGTTGAAATAATAAAAGCTTATTTTTTCAATTATTTCGGTAAATGTACTAAAAAATAAACAGTGCAAATAATCTTATTTTACTTTTATTATTTGTTACTTATTCGGTTATACAAACTTTATACAAACATAACGTACGTTGTACAAACGTATTTTTCTTTTGTTTAGTACATAATACATATTTATATATGTATCAAAGTTGAACACAAATTATAAATTTTTTTAAATTACGATAAAAACAATTGCACATATATTTGATAAAATAAATCAAAAAATATAAAAATAAAAATATCTTATTATATACCATAATACATAATAATAAAATAAAATTCGAATTCCATATTTTAAAATAAAATTAATGAATAATTTTCCTTTTGCGATGAAATACAATTTAAAAAATGAAAACTTCAGTTGATTTTATATCGAGCGTAAAAAAATAGACATTTTCTGCAATTTTTAATAACTTCGCCGAGAAATAACTAACGAAATATTTTTCTCAAATATTTCGAATTTAATGATATTATTTCTTCGTCCTTCTTCCCATACTGCCATCATCTTGGCGCCGCCAAGGAGCTTGCTTTAACCATAATGAAGTTGCCGCATCAATTTCTGGAATTTCTGTTTCCGGCCTTTTATCTAGAATTGCGCCTATAAAAATACAATATTTATATTTAATTTCTTTAAAAGAAACCATTAAACTATATAGACGCCAAGTCAATGGAAATAAAGTATTAAAAAAAGAATATAAAAAATAAAAATTTAGATATCTGCAGAAAATTTTTGTTTTCTTAATTCCACTTTACTAAGAATAAATCAATAAAAAGTTTTATTCAAAATACTAAAAGTTGAGTATTAAGGAATATAATTTGTATTTGATAACTTTTTGAAATAGCAATTAAAAAAGTAATTTACAGTTGCTTGAATCGAAAATAAAAACTGTTTATTGTTATTTATTAATTAATAAAATAGTTATATATATTTATATTTAATTTATATATATATATTTATATATTATTTAATTATTCTATTTATATGAAAATATTTCTATTTATTTATTATTGCTCTTATTTGAAATAATCTTCAAATATGCAAGTAAATAAGTTTCTTCAGTACTTTATATGTAGCTTCTTTAGAGTTATCTTTAACACCAATTATTTGACTCATATAACAAATCTGCATAAATAACAATATTTAAGTTAAAAAAATAAATATGAAAAATAAGCGCATAATTAAAGTAAAAATATATATTTACAGTTGCTCCCACGTTATCATCTTTTGATAAATATTTTTCAAACTTTTTTAATTCTTCCTGTGTTGTTAGTGGAAGTGCTGGAAGATCTGCCGGTCTTACTATTCGTTTCTCATGTGGAAGGAGATAGCGATTTAATCTGCATTGATTCATAATAATAACGTCTAATTTACTACTGATTTCTTGGTTAAATATGTAAACTTTTTTTTCAAAAGCTTTTATATCAAAGGCTACTTCAGTTATATCTGATACTACACTATCTGTAAGAAAATCATAACTTAATAATCTGATAGTTTAAAAAATATGAATCATTTTACCTGTTCGACGAGATGAGCAAGGAGTAGACATAAATGCTGTCATATGAGAAGTAATTGGACTCATTTCATATAATTCTGATGGAGATACATTGCGCATTGAAACTGGTGATTTATCATCAGATGTGTTATATTCAGTACAATAATCCTTAGATGAACATGGTGTCTCTCTACTTATCGATCTTAAGCGTGTTTTTCGAGCTGCATCATTATTTGATAATTTTATTATATTTCGATTTTTCAAAAAATCTTGTTCTACAATATTAGTATCAATATTTTCTTTTGCAGCATCAGATACTATCTTTCTCTATAAAGACATTTTAAGATTTAAATTTTATCAATTAAATTATGAGTAATATCACATTGCACGTAGAAATTAAATTTTATTTACTTACATTGTCATCTATCAAACACATTTGTCTTGCTATCTCTATGCTTTTTAATTTGTTATTCATAATTGAAATTTCCTTCTTATTCAGAGATGAAATTTTCTTTTTTGCTTGACATATTTTTGTAAGTAGGACATCTTTTTTGGATTTTGTATTTTGATGAGACGTCAATATTATGTTATTGCTTTCTTCTAATTTATTATTTTCTTGTAGTATTTCTATTTCTTTTGTTTTGCTATTTTTGGTATTTATCTCAGTTTCATTATTTTGTGATTGAAAGGAATCAAGTGGTGGAGAAGGAGCATTTCGTTTACATCTAAGTTCCTGTCTAGCACCATTATCTCCATCTAATTCTGAATCGTCAGAAGACGAAAATTTTTTAAATCTCTTCTTTTTTGAGAAAGATTCATCGTATGAAAACTGTGGACGCTTTATTTTTTTATGTTTGCCACGACCTAATTCTGTTTCATAATTGGAAGATAAAATATATCCATTCAGTGCATGCCGTGCATTTAAAAGTGTATCTAGAAAATACAATTAAACGAATAATTAGATAACTTTATAGACAAAAAAGAACATACCGTTATAAAAAACACATACCATAAAATTTTAAAACAACAACATTATATATGGGCCATGAAGGTTGTGAATCTAATTCTCTTTTAAGTGCAATACTCTGTTCAGATCTGGGAGGCCAAGAAATTTTTGTATTCATTTTACAATCTAATTTTCCATTTAGCCACTTGGTAAGACCAACTTCAAATAAAGTATCATCTTCCTCATCGCAATCATCTTCGTTTATAAATTTCACAACAATAAACTGAAAAACCAATACGATGTAGTTATAACATTTTTTAAAGATATTTTTAATTAACTTAGCTCATTTGTTACAACGTAACATAATTCAAGAAACATAATTTTCCACTTTAAGTGTCCTAAAACATTTATAAAATTTTGCAATAACATTTTTAAATATAATTTTGAGGTAACAATTTAGTTTACTAATTACAGAAACAAAAGCATTAGTAGCTCACTAAATGTATTCAATTCTCATCAGAATTCTCTTTCGGAACAACTAAAAAAATTATAATTTTTAAATTGCGTTAATGCTGTAACAAATGAGTGTAGCAAATGATAAACAAAAAACTTACATAAATATACAACTTCATGTTTTACATAAATTTTATAAAAACGTAAAATTTATATGAAATATTATGTTTTAATTCATAATAAAATCGTTGACATTTTATTTATAGAACGACATAGTATGAAGCAAAGGTATGATTACAACCTTGTTTTTTAGATTTAGTATCATGCAATTTATTTACCTGCAGCACTTAGCAGTAAATTGACAGCAGATCAAATGACAAGCTCTACAGCGGTTTGGCAATTTGATGTAGATGTGCGGCAGAAATTACGCAGAATGAGCAGAATCTATCGCCAATTTCTGGTTAGGTTAGGTTATAAGTTATATTAATAGATTGCCGACAGAATATGAATTTAATGCAGACAGTGTGTTAATCCTGTCTCTTATACACAT